GCTCTGCTGCCTTGTAGGTTAGATCTTTGGTCAAAGGCTCGGGGTAGGGCCCCCTAAGACAGCCCTCTACTTCGGCCTGGGCAACCGGGTAGTATCACGCCCGCTGACGAATCATGGACTACACCGCTCACTACTACTACTGCTATGCCGCTCTTCTGTCTTAACTCAACCGCTCAACGTCCACTCACAGACCACCCCACCTCCCGTCCTTCACCTACATGTACTCTTGTGTCTTCTACGGTCACCGTCACAAACGACCCACGTCTCGCAGCTGATGGAAGTAACAGCCAAACTCCCGGTTTCCAATGTCCTGCGATCGCAACCACCTCTCACTCCACCGAAGCTCCAGCTCTTCTTCGACCTGGTTCTCCATTCATCCTCGCAGCGTTTAATGTTCGAACTTTGATGCAGATCGGACGACAAGCATGTCTGGCCCGTACTCTTGAAACGCTATCGGTAGACATCTGTTGTCTTTCAGAGACCAGATTACAAGACTCTAGCGCCGTCATCAGAATGGCCTCTCCGGTAAACTCTGACGCCAAATACTACTTGCGGCTTTCCGGAGACCCAGAATCTGCCGCCACTGATCAAGCTGGTGTTGGGGTTGTATTAAGTGCCAGGGCTGAATCAGCTCTGCTTGACTGGATCCCAGTCAACAGCCGACTATGTGCAGTCAGACTAAGAGATTCATGTAACGTAAGCAGGCGTCGAGATGTTAAGCGTGCCTTATTTGTCGTCTCCGCCTACGCCCCTACAGACTGCAGCCCGGATGCAGTTAAAGATAGCTTTTACCAACAACTACATGAACTTCTGCGTTCCTCCAAACGGACGGATAGAGTCATTCTTGCCGGGGACTTTAACGCACGGGTTGGCCGCCTTCTACCAAGCGAGCACCACATTGGGGGTAGTTTTGGTCTCGGTGGCAGTCGATCAGACAATGGAGACAGACTACTTGCTCTTTGCTCTGATCATCGCTTGTTTCTTTCGAGCACTAGTTTTCGACACTCGAGGAGACAGACTGCTACCTGGCGCCCGCCCTCACAAACGCAAGAGTGCTCCCAGCTTGACCACATAGCAATCAGCTACAGATGGCGCGGAAGCGTAACGGACTGCCGATCGTACTGGTCAACTTATCTAGACTCCGATCACGCATTGGTTCGTGCTAAGATTTGCATGCGTTTCGGAGGATCACCTAAGCGCGCCCCCTACCGACCGGACGTCGCGAATCTACAAAACGCTGCGGTTTTAACCAGGTACCAAGCCTCACTGTCAACTTTGCTTGGCTCAACTATTGATGGTGATCTCGATTCGCAGTGGGCGCATATCAAAGATGCGTTAGTTTCCGCCAGTATCGACACTTGTGGAGTTACCCGTCACCCACCGAAACATTGGATTTCCGCCGACTCCTTGTCGCTGATGGACAGACGCCGCTTGATCCCATCGGATTCCAGACACGTTGAAGAACGCCAATACCTTGGTCGAGAGTTGCGCAGGAGTCTGCAAATGGACCGCGAAGCTTGGTGGTGTGAACGTGCTAGGGAGATGGAGCTTGCTAGTCTCTGTGGTAATACCAGGAAACTTTTCCATCTCATTCGAGTCACCGAAGGTGTTCGATCTGGTATAAGTGAAACAATATGCGAAGAGGATGGCACCTTAATCACCAATCTTCAACGACGGTTGGAGCGATGGGCCGAACATTTTGGCTCGCAGTTTTGTTGGCCCCCAGCTCCATCTGCTACCTCTGGCGCTCGCGCTGGGGCCGAGTGGTCTACCCCAACAGACCCTCCCTCTTCCCAGGAAATCGAGCAGGAGCTCCGGCACCTGAAGCGTTATAAATTTCCCGGCCCTGATGGTCTTCACCCAGCTCTATTTAAAGATGGTGGCGCATCGCTGGTCCGAGAACTCACCGTTTTGTTCTCGAAAATTTGGTCGAAAGAGAAGGTTCCATCATCTTGGGGTGAATCGATAGTCGTACCCATCTTCAAAAAGGGCCTGCGCACAATCTGCTCCAACTACAGAGGAATAAGTTTAGTCCCCGTCGTTTGCAAGCTGCTAGTGTCCATCATACTTCGCAGGCTATCCCCAACACGCGAATCGTTGCAACGAGAAGAACAAGCTGGGTTTCGCCCTGGTCGCGGCTGCATCGATCAAATCTTCACACTTCGCCAGATCCTCGAGCTCCGCCATGTGTATCAGAGGCCAACGATTGCTGTGTTCCTGGATATCCGTGCAGCCTTCGATTCTGTCGATCGTACAGTACTGTGGCAGTGCCTTCTGAGGAACGGTGTCCCCGAGAAGTTCGTCTCCATACTGCGCGCTCTATACAGTCTGACCTCGGGCAGGGTTAGGGCTTATGGCATGCTTTCGCCTACCTTTGTGGTCTCCAGTGGAGTTCGACAAGGATGCCCTATCTCTCCATTCCTATTCAACTTTGCCATTGAGGATGACCTGAAGAACACTCTAGGCGATTCGTTGAATGCTGGCGTTGAGCTCCTCCCAGGTAGTCGAGTTGTTGATTTGGATTATGCTGATGATATCGTCTTGCTGGGTGACGATCCACAGGTCGTCCAACTTGCATTAAACCGCTTGACGATTGAAGCATCAAAGTACGGTATGTACTTTTCGCCATCCAAATGCAAGGCTCTCCTTCAAGACTGGCAGGTGCCTCTGCCTGCACTCACGCTTGCTGGTGAGACACTGGAGGTTGTGGAGAGCTTTGTCTACTTGGGAAGTTGCATCACTGCTGGCGGGGCTGTTGGAGACGAGATTTCGATGCGCATCTCGAGAGCACGCCTCGCTTTTTTCTAGGCTGAGGCATTTGTGGCGTCGCCATGACATTCGTCTCTCCATCAAAGGGCGGGTCTATTGTGCAACTGTTCGTGCTGTACTGTTGTACGGATGCGAGACCTGGCCCATTCGTAAAGATGACTTGCGCAGGCTATCCGTCTTCGAGCACCGCTGTCTGCGGTCCATTGCCCGTGTGTGGTGGCAGCACCACGTAAGCAATGTGGAAGTTAGACAGCGTGTCTTGGGACGTGGAAGCCACTCGCTCGAGGAGCTCATCTCACTGCATCAACTGCGGTGGTTGGGACACGTATTGCGCATGCCTGTCCAGCGTTACCCCCGTCGTGCGTTGTTTGCACTTGCTGGACAGGGCTGGAAGAGACGGTCTGGTGGACAGCCTACAACATGGAGAAGCCGCATGAAAAAGTTGACGAAACAATTGGCCTCGGCCGGTTGTTGTCGACTACCTGGTTGGGGTCCGAGAGATGAGGATACTTGCTGGTTGAAAACCTTGGAAGTTATGGCTCAAGATCGATGTCAATGGCGGACGTGTGCATCAGTGTATTGCGGTGTCCCTTCTTCCTCCCCCTAAAAAAGAACAAACTGAAAAAAATTTCAAAAACTGTGAGTGGTAAACTTGACAAAAAAAACATTTCTTGTTGCTCTTTTCTTATTATTCATATTGTTTTCCTATTCAGCCATGATTCCGATGGCACAATATCTGTACCACAGATTGTGTATAATATATAATATATACGGTATGCTTTGGGCGCTCAGTCGCAGCTTCAGCACTTGGTCCGAAGAGACTGCCGCTCGCCTCTTCGTCTCAATAATACGACCAATGCTAGAGTATGGCTCTCCCGCGTATTGTCCTATCACCCGGGGCGAAGTAGAAAAGATTGAGCGAGTGCAGCATGTAGCCACCAGGCTGATTCCTAACTTACGATGTGTGCCGTACGAAGACCGGAGTAAGAAACTAGGGCTGTACACCCTAGCTTATCGTCGACTGAGGGTTGACCTCATCAAGACGCACCGGATAGTACATCTGGGTGATTACCCTGTTGAGACCACTGCTTCATCTGCGCACACCAAGCAACACACGAGGACACCGGTATAAGCTTGTCGTACCGGATTTGAAGCGGGTCGCTCACCAACTCTGTTTCGAACGCAGAGTGGTTAATGTATGGAACGACCTGCCGCAGCACGTAGTTGGGGCAAAGTCAGTGTCGGAATATAAGAAGTTCCTTGACAAACATTTGGCCAACGCAAAATATATTGAGCGGAACACAACATAAGGGGTATTTGTCCATGAGTGACAATTGATGCAGCTACACAGAGCTAACTCTACTTGCTGCTTCTAACCAGTAATCGGTAACAGTTTGTGTAATCAAACCCATGGACAGCGGTCCACGAAAGCAGTGCGCCTTGAAGCAGTACGCAATAAAGATGATCGGTAGGGATGAACTGACTAAATCTCGCTGCGTATACGGGGGAACGGTCATCACCATATTCGCAGTGCTTTCAAAAAGGTAGTGCTATCAAGTGATAATCTGCGATAAAATGACAGAATGAGTCTTGAGTAGTGAAGTCGCAACCGAGCAACATGTACAGACCACTCGTGTTTAGGTTGCTTGTCTGGTCCCCTGCAAGTACATGGATTGGCTTCAGAAACGCATAAAGAGTACGAATTCCGGTAGCAGTGTACGCGAAACGTCACAAAAGGGTCAGGTGCCAGTATGCCGCTACCGGTGGTGTTCGATACAGGAATTGGACAGAATGACATCAGAAGTAACCCTAACCGGGCGAATGTGATTAAGACGGAAACTGAGAATCAGTTCAATTGCACTGCTAGCGAAACAAACAAGAATGCCTCTGGAATAAACTTACTTCGTTGAAGTGCGACCGCAAGTAGGTGTACGCGAGCTGGGATACTGCAAGCGTGCTCAGACGTAAACAAGTGCGCGGACTCAAGCCCACAACACCTGAAACATTTCACCACAATACTCCATGCGTGTAATGATTGGAGGGAGAGTTGATGCACACATACAGATCCAACCAAAGCTTAATTGCAACACATCCAAAGGGCGTCCAAGATAAACTCACAGTAATCACGAGGAAGAGGGGACAGAAAAACTCGTAGTACTCACGAACGTCGACTTTGTGAAAATCCATCGGAAAAGTACCTAGCATCATTTGTGTTACTGATTGTCACTTACCGCAGTGGGAGTTTGCGGAATACCTTCGGCGATAGGTTTCGCGCCGACAGGGATGAGCGGGTTAGTGGGGTGAAATGCCTGCACGACACCATGGAGGCCAGAGGCAAAAATGCAGCCCGGTGTCGCCCGGAGCTCTCCAAAGCCGCGAGTCCAACCGGGAATTTCATTGGTCTGTAATTCAAATGAAAGACGAAATAATCCTCGAGTCAGGGGTAGGGGATTTTGATATAATTAACTGAGGGTTCGTCGCATCTAGTTCCAAATCAGATAGTCGTCCACATGCCTAGAAAAGCCCTAAACTGCAGTTCCAGTCTGTTGGGCATCATCAGTAGTGCGCATCCATCAGACCCAACAGGATTCGAACCCATGATCACTAGCGGCTTGCACCGCCAGTCAGCAGCTTATGCCAATGGGCGACGGGAGACAGCTTCGGACCGTCATGATTTGCAAGCTAACTGCGACATAGCCGCCCTGAGTTTCTAAATGCTATGTCATACATCGCTACTGTCAGTGGACGTCGTGTCTTTTGGGGCCAGCCCTGTCCTCTGCAACCTTCGTAACTTGCATGACAGTGGAGGATAAGATGCGATATATCACAGTTAGCTTGCAAATCATGGCGGTCCGAAGCTGTCCGCCGTGGCCCAATGACATAAGCTGCCGACTGGCGGTGCAAGCCGCTGGTGGTCATGGGTTCGAATCCTGGTGGATCCGATGGATGCGTACTACTGATGAAGCACAACAGGCGGAAACTGCAGTCTAGTGCTGTTCCGGGCATGTGGACGACTATGTGATTTGGAACTGGATACGACGAACCCTCAATTAATCCTAAAGTGAATGGGACATTTTGACGGGCCTAATAAACTGGATTCCGAGATTACTTGGTGAATGGACGAGTACAATGAAGTAGAAAAAGTCGATGCTGCTAGATCCCTACTACTGACATCGCCTCGTCGGTTGGGAGATGCATTAATTAGTGTTGGTGCATGAAATTCAATACGAGGCCGATATCACAGGATGCACCAAGTAACACAGATGTGTGAGCGCACAAATATACACGCTAGCTTCCGGTCACACTCACAGGGTGTCAAACGAGACAGAACGTGACAGGAGGTTGTGCAAGATGTCAAACCTTTGAGCGATAGTTTGTCGTCACATAGATATGATATTCATTACGCATTAACTGTATCAGTGAGTCGGGAAGCGCAGTGCCGATTGGCCCCCTAGTGCTCTGGATCTAGCGAGCAAAAACCAAGCTCTTGAGCAAATCGGGCTTTAGTATTTGGTCGTATTAGATTGGATACGGCAACCAGACAACATAGGAGCACATCAGCTATAGTGCCATAATATGACATAACAGAAGAACCATTTCATAGAAAATGAAACGGATAGGAAAACAGCTCAAACGGAAAATAAACAAAAAAGTCAGTCATACTAGCAAATATGTGCGACTCGAATATGATACGCATTCTCGGGCGGAATCCCAGGTATAACTGTCAAGTAGTGTTGAAACAGCGCCCATTTCCGATACCACCAGCAGAGGGGTTTCCGTCGTTGTCCATAAAGAAAAAACGCGTTGTCCTTAACGGGATGCCAATGGATAAAGAACGGTTTCATCATAGATAGGACTGTGACCTTACTACTTCGTATGCATCTTTAATGAATGCTTGATGCACTTTTACACCAGTAGACAACTAAAATGCATCGGATCTTGTGCTCATAAAATTACACCTGTGCCACCACCCCCCGCAGAGTGCTGCAGCGGATCTACAATGTCTGGCACCTCCAAAATCATGGTAGGTGAAACATTTACCCGAACTGATGCAGCGATGTAATGGACCGACAAAGTATGAGCTAAATCTCAAGCAATCCTGCCTCTCATCCAATATGCTTTTTAGATGTGCATTGGAAATAGAATGTATACGTGATCCGCATAAATTACATAGGACACACACACACACAAATGTCTCATGGAAGCGAATTCTGGTATAGCTAGGTGTGTGAGATTTCATTTGCTCAGAAATGTAAATTGTTATGTGATATACAGACTGTAATGGAGAAACTTCGAAAAGCACGAAGTTGGCCAAACGGGAAGTAAACTGGCAATGAGACGGCAAGAACACAAAAGAGCTTGCAGCAAAAGTCGTGATGCATCATCTCTGGTCATCGTGCACGCAGACAAAGAAGGATACAGTTTCAAATAGGCCAAAACAGAAGTATTTAGCACGAAGCTTGGTTTTTCACGGAGGATTCAATCAACATGAACATAGACATCGACCCTATATACCAACCGCTCCGACAGAGGAATCAGACGAACACCAAAACGCAGCCCGAACCAACGGGTGAGCTCACCGATGAACCGCCAATCAGGATAAAACACATCTGATGTGGCGTGTGAAAAGTCGGTCCTTCAGGGACAAAACGTATATTCTGCAAACAACAGGACCAGGCGAAAACGGAGACAGACGGCGAGTGAAACATATCGGTATATACAACTGGTTGGATCCATAATTAACGACCTTTGTTGATGCATGACATTTTTCCTTTGATTCAGTCAAACAAACTCACTCCCATGCGTCCAACTGTTTGCCAATCAGCGTGCATGCGAGAAACGTGTGAACGTCCAATCGATTGCCGCCTTTGCTTGCGGCAGCCTAAGGGCTTCCTTGCTGACATTGCGAGGGTTGCTGGGATCATTGCGGAACAAGGTTCAGCAGAAGATCGCTATGGTTGTATTGTGGGCAGCAGAATCCCTGCGCACTCAAAAAGTGGGTATCCAACCGTCGTTTGAAACATTCCTCAGTCTCCGCATCGACGACAGCTTCTGGCAAGCTGTTACAGTCATTCACTACCCGGGTGGATAGGGCCAGATCTGACCGTACACGGAGTCGCCGCGGTTTGAAAAGTTTCCACCGGTGGCCTCGAGTTGCACAACTTGTGTTTAGACAAAAGAACGATTGCAGCTCACTATCCAGCTCACCTCGTAGAATACGCCGGGTGAATATCATATCTCCGCGGCGACGACGATAATCCAAAGAGAACAGGTTCAACCGTTGTAGCCGGAGGAGGTAGGATAAGTCCCGAAGCTCTGGAACGGATTTGGATCCACGCCGTTGAACCTTCTCGATCATGTCACGTTCGGACTTAGGGAGCGGGTACGAAGCAGGCAATCCGTACTCAAGAACTGGGCGTACATGAGAAGCGAACAGTAATCTGAAGAGTGTTGGGGTCAGGCGTGAAAAGGCTCTCCGTATAGCGTGAAGTATTCTGTATGCGGATGCGACCCTCCTCCGGGTGTCCTCCATTGATTTGAAATTAGGAGATACAATCACCCCAAGGTCCCTCTCTTGGTTGACATTTCTGAGCAGGAAACCCCCGATATGGTAAGCCCCAAAAGGCTCAGGAGCACCGATTGGAAGGATAGCGCATTTGTCATAGTTAATGGGCAACTGCCACTTTAGTGACCAATCGTGGAGCTGATCGAGTGTCGCTTGAAGTATGTCTGCGTCTTCCAGACTGGAAACCTCAATCCACAGCTTCAGATCATCCGCGTAGATTAAGCAGTCGGTCTGCAGTTCAGATGGCAGGTCGTTGATGAAGATATTGAAGAGTTCGGGGCCGAGTACAGAACCCTGGGGGACCCCACTAGTCATGAGAATTTGATCAGAAAGCGCTTCGTTAACTTTGACCTGCATGAAGCGACCTTGCAGGAAATCGGAGACCCATGAAAGAAAATTGCCAGTGACGCCGATTCCCCGGAGTTTGAAGAGGAGCCGCTCATGTGGGACCTTGTCAAAAGCCTTACTGAAATCGACAAACACAGCATCCAGACGCTTACCGGCATCTAAGGATCTTGCCCATTTTTCCCTAGCTACCAGCAAATTTGTAGCACATGAACGCGCCCTTCGGAAGCCATGTTGGACATGAGATAGGAACTCCAACTCATCGAGATGTAGGCGAAGGGCCCGTTTCAGAATCCGTTCCATAACTTTGCACAAAATCGAAGTCAAACATATGGGACGATAGCTGGCTGGATTCTGTCGGTCCCCTCCTTTGTAAATGGGTTTAACCGTTCCCATTTTCCAAGCAGTAGGAAGCCGCCCGACCTCAAGGGAACGACGGAAAATTTGACATACAGGAGCGGCAATGTGTCCGGCCACGGTCTTAAGGAACAATGGGTGTAAACCATCGGGACCCGGCGAGGAATATGGGTCTAGGTCAAGTAGAAGTTTCATTACATCGTCAGTGGAAACATTCACGTACTCCAGCAGAAAAGGAGGAGTGGGTGCAACGCTATCTGGGAGTGGGGTTTCGGTAGAGTAGAATGAGGAATATTGCTGGGCCAAAAGGCTAGCTTTCTCACCGTCTTCGTAGACTAGGTCCAAATGCTCACAGGGAGACAAGGCGAGGACACCACTTCCAGCTTTAGTGCTTCGTTTGAGGTATGAGAAGAGCGCCTTGGAGTTTGTACTAGAAAGTGCAGCTAACGACAGTTCGTACTTTTGGCGTTTCTCTCGTTTTTTTATGTTACAAGCATCCCTTACCGTTTTGTAGTGACAGTAGTCAAGCTCAACTCACGTAATTCTGAAACGATCCCACAGTTTTCGCCTTTTTTTCATCATTGGTCTCCATTCGCGGTCGATCCATGGAAGGCCTTTGGAGAAGGGTCTTCTTTTGGAGAAGGGGATGACCTGTTCAATGAGTAACGTCAGCTTGGAGTACAAGTGATGCCACGCTTCGTCAACATTGAGGTGTTCAGGGATACTCCAATCGACAATGCTTGCCGCCGTTTTCAAACGAGTTGTGTCGGCACGCCAGAAATTCCGACGGTCGGCACGTTGACTGTGAACAGCGAGACGACGTGACCACTGGAATGAGACTGTACAGTGATCACTGCTGCCAATGGGCTGTAGAACTGAAAGTTTCGTGATGTCTGATTGTGTTGGGGAGAGTACGAGATCCAAGATATGCGGCGTCTGATCTGGAGGAATACGAGTTGGTGCAGTGACGTGTTGGAGCAAATTACAATGAAGAATGGTCTCCAGTAAGTTAGCTTCGAAGGATTCTGTAGGTCGGGCACAAAGAAACAGGTTCCAGTCAACAGAAGGAGCGTTGAAATCCCCAACGATAAGACAATCCTTTCGTGCACCATGCTTCCTGATCGAGTCCATCAACCGAGCTCCGGATCCTGAAGGCGCTCTGTAGACAACACCAAATGAGAGAGAACTCCGACCATCATGAACACGACACCAGAGTGCATCAAGCTCATCGTCTTTGTCACTGATCGCTTCAACTACGTGCACTTTAATATCAGTCTTCCAATAGGCTATTACACCACCGCCGGGCCTCCCTCCTTGTCGATCGGATCGGGAGAGGAGATAACCAGGGATAGACACCTCTGAATCCGTGATGTCGGTGAATAGCCAGGTTTCAGTGAAGGCCATTAAGTCCGGGCAGGTCTCTGAGGCAATCAACGGAATCTCATCCAATTTATTCCGCAGACTGCGCACATTGGCGGTTAATACAAATAGTCCATTTGTGTGTTTTATTGTCCCGGGATGAGAAGAATGGGTCTCCAACGGGCTCTCAAGGTCTTCCGAACCACGCAAAAATCCACAATATGAAGGTCAGTTTCACCATTTCCTCGGCGTGTTCGTAGCTCCTCAACAGCCTATTTCATTTTTATCCGATCCTCTGGAGAAAGATCACGTAGTACGTAATATGGCTCACCTTTGAGACGCGAGGTCCGTCGCAGAATACGTCGGCATTCCTCTTCCGTCTGACACACGACTTTGAGGGGACGAAATTTGGTTGGGTCCTCTTGCTTCCTGCCGAGCCGGAATGCAGAAACGATGTTAATCCCCTGTTCCCCTTCATCAAATAACAAAGAGATCAAACGCTCGAGAAGAATTTGGTCATCCAGAATTCTTTCCGCTGGGGTGGCTTTGTTCGATTCGGCTGCGTTCATAATGATGAGGCAACGGTCCCGAGAAGGTGGAGTGCGCTCAGGCATCTGCGGTCTGCGAGAGGACGGATTTTCTTTGATCACTTTCTCTAGCTCAGAAAGTCTATTGAGAACTAGCTTCATTCGCGACTGAGAAGCTGAGAGCTTAGAATTTGGTTTATCCCCGGATTTGGGATTAAACTTAACAGCATTGGTGGCTGGGCTTTGGCTGATAAAGGTCGGGGCACATTTCCCTTCACTATGGAAGGGTTATCCCCGGTGTTGGATTTCGCCTTGGGCTTAGATACCAGCTTTCTTGGGGGCGTGCTTTCAGCTGGGCAAAGACTGGTTGATGTTGGAGCGGTGGCGCTCGCCACGGCAGCATACGTTGCGGGCTTATTCCTCGGTCGACAAATCATTTTACTGGACGGTAATGACTCGGCCGACGTAGCAGAAAGGGTGCGGGGTCGATTTGGTTTGGGTGTAGCAGATCCAGATTCAGGTAGGGAAATGGATGATGGGGGTAACTCATCTTCCGTATTGTCCACGGCCAAGGTGACAGGGCTGCATATACTCAAAGGACGATGGTTAGCCAGAAGACGTTTGTCATTCACTATTACTCGACATGAGTCACAATGTGAGCTCATGACCTCAGAGGCAGTGCGCTGGAGACATTCATATAAAGCGTCATCGATGTTACAGCACGAAGTGTGCAGCCACCCTTCACACAGAGCGCACTGAACAGCTTTTGAGCGGGAAGTGACGCGTTTGCTACAACTTAGGCACTTGGATGACATTGCGGTTCGCCATATTGATACAGAAATCTGAAAAGTGGGAGCGGAAACCTCAACGGGGGTCGTTATCCGCAGCACATGAGCAACTTCAGTTCAGTTCAGTTCAGATGGGGACTGGAACGATAGGAGAATCCCGTGAGTGTTCCATCTTGAGTGGATCGTTGAGCCAGGAATTGATGAAGTGCTCAGTTATTGATGGATCTAAAACGGAAACACCCGTATCGCACCCTGGCCAACCAGTTAATGCCCGCGTTTCCTGCCCTAGCAGTCCCTGCTTTGGCAGTCACGTGAAATAAGCAAAGGATAGGAAGAGAAATCGAAGGTACAGAATAGGGAAGTGCACTTAAATAAGAAAATAATACCAATACGTGAAGAAAAGTAGAGAAAAGAAAATCGAAGTACGAAGATGCGAGTTACTCAGGAAAATGGAAAGGTTTCGTGTTGCCACCCAAAGGCGTCAAGTTGCCGCTCAAACCCCTTAACCGTAGATTCCCTGATAACACTTTCCGGAAGCATGTTCCAGCGGTCGATAACTCGGCGTGACAGCCGGATTTCCGCCCTAATCCGATCGGACCGCGGTTTGTCCAGCTTCAACGAATGACCGCGTAGAACAGACAATCTTGCGGGACTGAATAGCCAAGATA